ATACATATATATATATATATACAAATATAGCCCAAACGGTTTAAAAAGAGGATCTCATCAGATCGGCTCCATGGGATGGGAGCTTTTGGGGTTCGAAAGTCGCTTGTCAGGCATCGGGCATTTCGACACTTATAACTTTGAGGGCTTAGGGCTTGTCTTCGAGAGACTCCATTTTTCTGATTTAAGACTTTAAGACTGAAGACTTCCCACGACCGACCACACCATCATCAAGCACATGAGTGTGTGGAGGACTTCTTAGAACGCTGTTTCTGGAAAGAGGGCGAAGTTTCTGCATGCCCCTTCATGATGTCTCCTCCGGCAGTCCCGAAGATCATGCCGCTAATGCTGCCGATGCCCGCATTGATGGGCACCGAGAGGCCGAATGTGAGAGGTGCCGGAATGATGCCTGATAGGTCGCTCACAGCAAACATCAGCAAGCACACAAAACAGCAAAAGTGCTGAAGCGATGATGATGCCAATACAAGCTCAGCAGTGGTAGTCCCATCCCCCAAACCGTCCAACCCGCAGCTGAGAATGCATTGAATAGTTCGGAAAGGGCTCTGGCTCTTCACGTGATGCCAGATGCAGCAATGTATGCTTTCTTCGTTTCGCATTATGATTCATGACTATAATTACGTTTACTCCTGTTGCCACTAGCATTGGCAACAGCAAGACCAAGAAACTGTAATTTGGATGATGATCACTCATCCTTTCTGTCACCCACTTATCATCGAAAACGTAATTGTTAAGATCATTAGGCATTAAAGCTGCCTCAAGAGTGCTGCAGGCAACCGCTCTGCCAGCACCAATCAAAAGTCATTTGCTAAACGTGGAGTCGTTGGCTCCCTCTGCCAAGGAAACAACCCTGTCTGAAATCGAATTCGAGTGTCCCACCTATGAAGCGGCAGTAGGCGTTGGAAGATCCATGCTTAGTCATGGTCACAACTAGCAGCTAGCTAGCAGACCAGACCAGCCTGATAGCATGCCCACCACGGCACCGCCTGCACCTGGCAACACCCGAACGCATGCTTTGGATGCCTCTTGCCTCCGGGAAGGATCCCACCTTATGCGTGTGGAAACGTACTTTCCAGCCAGAGTTCAAGTTCCACTCAGCTCAGGTAGGGGCCTATACTTGCTGCTGACCCCTCGAAGCTTTCTTTGGGCGGTCCTCCTGTGAGTGCCCCAAGGCCGCCGACGCCAAGACAACCTCGGCAGGCAAAAACATCTCCGCAAGCATGATGCCGCTGCGGTGACTCAGGGATCGATGAAGGGCCCCCAAGCTGTTCAAGTAGCTTGTGGTTCTGTCCGATCGGGGCTAGGAAGTCTTTCTTTTGGGGCTTGTTCGGGGGTTGGATCGTGTAGCTAGCCCAGTGTTCGACCTTCATCAGTCTCATTTGCCACACTTCTGCCACAAAGTGTGCTCCACCGAAGCTAAACGCACTTGCAGAGAGCAGATCCATCATGGCACAAGCGGCTTTGGACTTGGAAGCAAGGGCCCAGTTGGGCGTGTGCGAAACCTCCACATCCCCGACTCGCCTGCGTGCAGAAGGACTTTGCACGGACTGCCCGGCCGTCTTCGCGCGCAGGATTGCAGGACAGCAACCGACGTCACTGCAGTTTGGCGTGGTCACTGCCTTCGCATATGCAGCCCGAAGCCCAGATATACCGGCACATGCAGGGACCTTACCAGGTCTCTCCGCAGCCTCTTGGCACGGCAAAGTTCGTTCTACAAAGGCATCCTTTGCTTCCGCTTCTCGGAAAGCTGTCTCACAAGCCGAGTCCGTGCTTGCAGCCACGCGTTGAAGTGAAACTCTGGATGCTGCATGCTCTGCCGACGCATTCCTCCACACTCGGCCTTGAACTCCTGTCCATTCCATTTTTCGTCTTCCGCTGGTTTGGTCAACGGTGCAGCGTGTGGTAGCACTCGCTCTAAGGCCCAACAAACGGCTGAAGTGCATGATGAAGGTCTTGTCTAGATTGTCTAGATGGTCATAAAAATCATATGGAGCCTGAGCTTTCGCTGCACAATGCGGCCCTTGAGACGACATTTTCGGACTTGGGGCGATGACTTCAAAAAACTCTGAACCCTTAGGGTTTAGGGTTTGTGGCTTTTTGCCTCCTACTTAGCAAGGACGAGCCCGCATTGCAGGGTAATGGTTTAGGGTTTAGGGTTTCGACTCTCACACTCGCACAAGGCCGGCAAGGCTCCGCATAGGGTTTAGGGTTTAGGGTTTAGGGCCTTCTTCACAAGCGGCTCGAAGGCTGCGCCTTATTGCCCAGCTCAGCCTTCCCCAAAACCCTCAAGCCCTCAGTTGCAGCGAGCATGATATAGGGACTGCTATCTTTAAGCCCATGAGACCCGATTATATAATAAATAGACACATCCTGAAACCCGGTCGAAGCCCTGTATGAACTGCGACCATCCTTCATTCAAGGCACGGCTTCCCTTGGACATGGCGGTGAGCTCCATCGAAACATGGGTGGCCGCCTTCGGAACTTTGGAAGTCTGGGGGTTAAACAAAAGCTCTGGTACTGGAAACAAAGACCTCGTCTTCTGAAAGGGAGAGCCTTCTGTCCGGAGCTGCCTTCTTCCAGTGGCGTGTCGACTTATCTCCCTAAACTTCTGGGCCACACGGTCGTCCCAAGAAGTGCAACACCACGCACAGTGATCCACAATCATAGCAACCGCCCAGAATCCTCCACCATACTCCGCCTCTGACTTCAGGACGCTGCGGTGGCTCAAGGGGACCTGAGCGGCTCTGCGTCTGGGCTGATCAAGGGCGAATGTCCCAAAATATCCCCTTAGCTTCAACCTCATCCAGAAAACGGGCCACTCGACGGCTGCTGCCGGGCAGCCAGGGTTGAGCGACAGGACATCTGCTCCGGAGGCTCTACGCCTTGGAGTGCGTGCCCCAGGCTTTGCGGAAAGCCCAAGGGCGCCGGCGGAGGCTCCCGGATGTGGAACTCAATGCCGAGGTGGATGCGAGACCCCTCAAGGTCCGACCGATGACCACGGCGATGATGATGAAGATGATGAAGATGAAGATGGTGGTGATGGTGATGATGATGATGATCATCATCATCATCATCATCATCATCATCCTGGTCATGATGATGATAGGACTATTGTTGTGATGTTGGGTGGTGGTGAACATGATGTTGAAGATTGCGCTGCCCCGGGCTTTGATCTGATGACGTGGAAATGGTAACAATAGCTTTGGGTGTACCCTCAGCGTGGCCCGAAACCTGAATCCTAACCCGAGTACACCGAGTGCATGTGGAGCAGCTTTCGATCAGAAGCTCCTCGTCATCCTGCACACGCTCTCACCGCCTACCGACACAGCCTCAAAAAAGGGGGCAGCTGCCGGGGTCTCTCCTCATCATCGCTGGAGCTTAGCAGGTCGCCGGACAGCATGGAGTCCTCTTGCGCTCAGATTCTCTCCAAGACTTTCCGTTGAGCACTGAAGCTACGGCCCTTGCTCACTCGTCTGGGGCGGAGCCGGTATAGCCTAATTCTAGTCACACCAACCTTTCAAGGGGGGGATCGTCTACAAAGCACACTTCTAAAGCCGGAGTGCCAGCAGGCCAGGAGGAATGCGCCCGCAGACAAATTCTCATGGCGCTGCCACGAACCCGAACCCCCGAGCCGCAGCCGATAAGTGATCTGCAGTCTTGAAGCCAAGTTTTGGATCATATTGCATGGACAAAATGACTGCACAGTATACTGTCATACGAACTCATGTGGTGACATATGCTGCTAGGGGGTGATCTATAATACAGCAGCCATAGCCTGCACCGAACTCAAGACAAGTCCACAGGTTGAACAGATGTAGTCAACATGCTTCTCGCTTAGACAAGTGCTCGACACGCTGGCTGTGTAATACAAGAAACCACAAAGTTGTCCAGCGCTCTCCTCGTGGACGCAATCCAAGCGAGGAGGCAGCGGCTTCGCGGTTTGGCCACACTTTCCTCAGAATGAGGGACGTTCGAATTTAGGGCTTCGAGTACGTATGTCGGCAGAAGAACGCAACAAGGAGACCTGAATAGCCACCGGGATACAGTTGAGGGTATGGTGCTTTCCACTTGACACACTTCTTGATTTGTGCTCATGTCTTTCGACCACACTCCCTCGAGGCAGGCAAGGATCCACGACGACTCGTTCAATCCATGCCGGTTTCGACTCTCACTCTCGCACAGAGCTGGCAAGGCTCCACAAAGGCCGGTTTTAGGTTACTCCTTGTGCCCTGTTCGAACTTGCCTCCGAGCAGAGACAGTTAGACGAGGGGACAAAGCCTCGAAAGCCCGAGCGACCCTCACTTCCCTCCACTTGCCGCAAGAGCCGCCGTCCAGCAACGTCGGCAGCGGGGGCACGACGAGGCGCTGCGGCTGCCCCGGCTGCGGGTGGTCCTGGAAACAGTTGCGGCTCTTGCTCTCTATGGCGGGTCGGTGCGGTTTCGCAGTTCCCGCGCAGACTGCCGTCTTACGCCCTCCTCTGCCGTAGTCCCAATTAATTTCGGCGGTTCGGACTCATGCAGTGCACGTTTTGGAGAATCGCAGGCCTGGGTGCTTTTCCCTGTCAGGGTTGTTTTTGGGTTTGGGGACCTGGGGCCGCTCAGGCCCTGAACCAAGGACAAAGACCGCCTCGGTGTGATGCGCTCCTCGTCACTTTGGCTGTCGCTCTCACTGTCGCTGTCCACTTTCGGGGCCGAGGCGCCACGCTGGAAGACCTGGACAAGCAACAACGTTTCAGGAGTCCGTTGGCACGGTGGTGAAAACGAATTTGCCGTTGCAATTAGTGGGGAGCTGTGGAACCTTGGTCTACGCGTTTGTGATTACTCAACCTCTTCAACAGCTCTATCGCACTAGTCACGCGTGGTGCGACTTCATAGTGAATCAGCGACTTCTCAGCGCTATGCCTGCTGACACCCATCTGCTCCGTTGTCGGCAGCAGACTCTACAAGCACGCAAGCTGTAAGGGGTCTGGACGATGTGGGCCAGCTGCCGCGCCCGGCCTTCGTCATCTGCGACACTTTGCCCGCAGTGGCGATGCGTGTTCGAGCAGAGACAGGAACTGGTTTCCTCCTGAGGCATCTCACTCGGACCAGGCGCGGCTTCTTACAGCCTTCAAAACTTGCAAACGGCATCCGAGATTCTCAGGCGTTCCGAGGGGTTTCCGAGATCCGTTGCTCGCATTCCTGAGATGGAGGTGTGTGCAGAAACCGCCAGAGGCTGAGGATGATTGCAGGCACAGACACCATTCACGACTAGAAAACCCTGAAAAATCATGCGTTCCGAGAGGCGCAGAGAGGTCGAGCTTTGGGATGGGCATCATCTCCTCCCAAGGATACAACGACTTGTGCATCTGAATTATACATTTATTCGCCCTGTGTCGCACCTTCTCGCGCTGCGGCACCGTCCTCTCTCCCGCATGGGCGGGCAGCGAGCCGAAACAGCTGCAAAAGTTCGGGGCCATGGAGCCATGCGCAACACAGGTCCCGCGCAGCACTTTCCGACAAATCACCAGTTTACAGTGTTGCGAAGAGGTCGGCAGTACGTCTGAAATTTCGAAATTTGCCTACTTACTTCAGAAACTTCTTGCTCGCACACTTTCCTCAAAGAACTCGAACTCTGGCTTCAGGTGCATGATGGCTTGGCTTGGCATCTTCGCGCCTAGGTTGATGTCAAAGTTGTTGCTATCTTACAAAACTAGGAATTGGACTCAAACCAACTGGCAAGCGATCAATTTTCTGAGGTCCGTTTGGCATCCGCTTGCCTTAACCTGCGTGTGGACGTGTGGTGCTAACGCGGTTTCAGCAGCAGATATGGAAATTTTGAGGCTCAACATGTAGACTGACCTCTGGGACGACGTACGTGTAGGTATCCATCCACGCTACCTCCAGCCAATCGTCTGCCCATTTAACCAGTCTACCCTTTGAACTCGAAGACTGTCATATGACTCAAATTCTTATGTTGCCCCAACGCACGTACACACACACACTTTTACTCACTGACTCAGTCACTCGCTCACTCTCGTGACAAAAGCAACTGAAACAGCTCGTGAATGCGACCTCTGCTAGTTCAGGTGCTGACCGTCTTCTTCACAGTTGTCCGTGTGTTGCACTACTACTACTACTACTACTACTACCACCACCACCACCACTACTACTACTACGACCGTACTCATGGTAACTTATGGTATCTTATGGTGGCAAAACTATGACAAATCCATTATAAAAACCACTATGGCTGTCGTAGGTACCCCTGTTGTTGCCATTGCTGTTCTCGCCTTCGACCTCGACTCCCGAAGCCAAGCTCTGAGCTCGTAGTACTTCTGGGCCATGAGCGTGTTCACACGGGGGATTCCGCCTGCAGCTGGGCGCTAAGGGAGCTTTGCGGGTGTCTAGGTCTAGGCTCCAGGGTTGGGAATTTACGTCACTATCCCTGCGCATGCCTTGCCCGTGCCTTGCCGTCCCACAGTCTGAATCTAACTCCAACAGGTAACACGATCTTGCTTTTCCCTCCGCAGACAGACGTACAAAATGCCATTGAAGTGGCGGCCTGGGAGTTTTGGGCTGCGCCCCAGACCCAGGCAGCAACAAGTACTGCGCGAAGGGAGTCTGAAATTTCGACATGAAGCCTTGAAGCCGAGATCATCCTACAATCTAGGAGTCGTTGTCGTGGTTCTGTTACGCCTGCTGCGGAGTTCAAGCGATGGTTGTAGTTGCAGTTGCTGGCTGCTGCTGCGGAAGGACCTACACAAGAACTGACAAGTAGCAGCAGATACTAGCAGTTGCTGAAATGGTGGCAGTAGTAGGGGTTCACGAGTCAGTTCCCCGTCGTCAGTAGCCGTCGTCTCGAGCCTGCACTTGCAGTTGTAATTGTGGTTGTCGTTGCACATGCACTGGAGTTGTCTGTCTTTGTCTTCTTGTCATGTTCTGGTATTCGAGGGTACGGAATTCAAACTGTATTTCAGATCCCTGGGTTCCATCCCACTCCACACCTCAGTACGCGCTGCTTGGCAGCACTACTCGGTGCGACAGGGGGCGCCTAACGGCGGCGGAGTTTTACCTTCGGCATCTGTCCGGACGTGAGGTTTACGACGTAATTTATTGCATGACCGTTTCCCTCAGATGCACCTGCTGCCTTTGGGACCCATCGAAACGACGGATTGCCAGCAGCTCCCAAAAAGTTCCGCTCGGTGCCTATTGCCACAACAACCCTACGATGTTGGCGGCAGGATCTGAAATCTGGTGCCTGAAATGCACGTCTCAGATCAGGGCTTTGCACTGAGAAAGCCTACGAACCTGAAACCCTCAAGTTTCCAGCTCTTCGCAAACATCTTCTGTAAGCAGGCAGCAGCACGCAGGCAAATCCCGACACGCCTGTAGCTCGGCCATGGGCGCAATTTATGCAATCTTACCTACCCAACTCCACGCAAGCGCACACACGCACGCACGCACGCACGCACGTACACACATATACAAGTATACCACAACGCAGGTACGTCTCAGGCAACCTGGTGCTTAGCGACACAAGAACCTGCTTGTCCGCTGTCATGACTGAGTGATGGACTGCACTCAAAGAGAGTTGGCTTGACTGGTTAAGGCGCGGCGTGCTAAAGCACGTATAGCAGTTGGACAGCAACTAGAACCACAAGGCTTCATAACCCACAGCAACACCATCGGCGATGCGAGTTGCTAGGTTGGGCAGAATCTGGTAATCAAAATGTGCCAGTTGGCCCTGCTTTGACACGATGCCGCAGAACTGTAAAGCATGCGATGCAGGGCCTGCGGGGCATGCCTTTGGCTGTAGCAGGACTTCCCGCTCTTCGGCAACGCTTAGTGATTTACTTGGATCATGCAGCCCCTTACACAGATCAAACGGTTAAGCTATGCTTCTCCTTGCTCAAGCTTGATATGGGGGTTTCCGAAAATAGGGGATCCTAATATAGAACCCTAAGTAGTAGGATCCTTATTATCAGGAGCCCAAATGAGGTACCCTAGTTTTCTGAAATTCCCATATCCTGAGCCCTGCGCCACAGATACGGGGCCCCTGCTACGTAGCACGATCCTGGGTGCGACGGGCTATGTCCGAGCCGACCCCAAGACGTGCTCGGAAGCGTGAAACCTTAAACCGTGGCCGAGTCATCTCCGAGGAAATCATAACCCTAAACCCTAAACCCTAAACCCTAAATCCCCGTCAAATCAGCTTTCATGTTTCGAACCTGATCCGGACACTCTACCGGCACCCTAAACCCCCACGCCTTGAATTGGGGTCAATTCAAAGCCTTGGAAGGCATGGTGCCAAACTCACTGGCCTCGTGTGTTTGCATCCCATCAGATGTCCATCACACACTGACCTTCTCCATCCTCTCCTCGCCAGAATTGTTTGGTCAGGATGTGTAATTTAGATTCTACAGGCCTCAAACATGGACATAGCCAGAGACACCCCTGTCTACGAAATCCGATCTGAAAGCTGTTCCTGCCCTTGGCTTTGTTCTTCGAAACTCTCCGCGTACCACACTTTACAAATCAAGAGTATGTCTTCATGAGTCCTCAGACGAAAGCGTCTGCGCCCTCCACCTAGCTCCCAACCAAAGCATCGTCACAGCAACACGGTCTGAGCCAAGCATCCATTTGGTATGTCCTCTTCCGCTCCTTAGGCACGAGGGCTTCGCGCATGGTCTCCGGCACTACTTACTGCGTTCTACAAACTACTGCTCACTCCTAGCTGCACTAAGGACTACCTACATACCTACTGCTTACTACTTACTACTTGCGACTACTCGCTCCTACTTCTACTCTGACAGCTATTCCTACTCCTACAGTACTCACCTACTCCTACTCATCTACTCCTACTCCTCCTGCTACCACCACTGCTACTTCTACAACTTACTGCTCTGACAGCTCTAACACTTACTACTCCTCCTCCTCCTCTTGCTGCTGCTGCTCTACTACTGCTACTATTACTACTGCTACTACTACTACTCCTACTCCTCCTACTACTCCCTACCACTACTACTACTACTACTA